TCTGTGCATATACATGTTCTTATTCGGCTTCCTGGTTGTTATCCTCCTCTGTATCCATGGCTACTGATTTCTCATACTCACGTACATTCTCAATTGATGCTGGCATCTTAGGTTGCTTCTTAACCACTTCATACGATACATCATCTCTACATCCAGACGTGGCGTAATATTTATTTTGGACGCCTTCATTGTAACTCTCAAATCCTGAACCACGATAAGTATATTTTGAAGTTGTATCAGTACGTCTTAGATTGATTACCAACTGAGCATTTACATTAATTTCATCTGTTACGTCATCATAGTCATGGTCTATGTCATTACCTCTATTGACCTGTCCTGCATCTGTGTTTATTTCATCACGTCTACACATCTCAGTTTCTCCATAGTCATTTTCTAAACGTTGTTGTTGTTCTTGTATGCTTGAATATTTTTGACGAGATTTCTTTACACGGACGACAAAAATTACTACAAGAAGTATCAGTATTATGATCCCAACTGCCCCGCCAACAGCAGAGGCAACTTATATCATATCAGCTCCTAGTATGGATTGTGGTGTTGGGCTAAACGTTTTGTTGCTCGTTGGAGAAATAACAGGTGTCACAGATGATGTCCGTATTGTGCGCCCATGCTTTGTTAAAGTGTCCGTGGTCAGTAAACCTTTGCCTACAATTTCCGGAGATCTGAAGACAGACATGGTCGTGTGAGATGTATAAGTTAAGGTATTGGTGGTGGCGGTGTCTGTGGTAGTAGTTAATCTCACATATAAATCAGCAGCAACCAGTTCCGATGCCATTTGAATTTTGTACACTGTGTTGTATTGTGTGGTGGCCATTAACGTTGATGGACACGTCATTAATATTTAGAACGTTTTTATCTGTATTAATAGTAAACTCTTCTCCTGTTTCAACAGTGACGTCATCATATTTCCACACATAACTGTATGGTTCGGGTGCACCAGATGCTGTACAAGTTTTGACAGAATTAAAAATGGGCCAACTTGACCAACTTGACAGACCATCGAGTGTTTTTAGCTTGACAGTAATAACGAACATCCTCATCTGCGTTTACTGCCATCCACGTGTACGTCGTTGTCACTGTGTCACCACTCGTGTAGGATGTCGATGAAACAAGGGAAGCATCACTTATTCCACCTCTGAACCACCTGTGTACAACTTGTGGTGACCCAGTAGACGTACTAGTACATGTGAATATTACAGTGTCACCTTCTGGTACCTCTACACCAGACTCAATACTGGTAGGGGTATATGTTTGTAGTTCAACGTATACGGAGAGGTGAACCAAGTCAGATCTAATGACCCCATTGTTATTGAAAGTCACCACACATTGGTATTGTCCACTGTCGAATGCAGCCATATACTCAGTAATGCCTGTTATTGTCAATGCAAACTGTGTAGGCACATCATGTATTACTGAGTATCGTGATGAATCAATAAACAGTACTACTTGCATGATTATTATAACTTATGATGATAATACCGTCTTTTTTCCACAATACCAAATCGCCAATCTCTAAGTTAGTGATATAACAATTCATCCATCGTGTCATGCATTAGTTAAATTAACGTAACGGTCCAAGGGTTGAATTGTAATAATAGGTGATGCACCACTAGGAACACATATGATTAACACACCACCAACAATAAGTGATAAACTACATTTAAACGCCATTTCAATGCAATTATTTCCCTAGAACACTAGTAATAACGTAGAGTAATTTTATTACTACTTCCTCAATCCGGATAACACCGTATGGTTTAGGTATTGTTATTTAAATGACAATGTCACATTGACAAAATACGCTTTAACGAACACATGTTTATTAATCCATCTCTCTCGGGCCGAAGCATAAAAACAACAACTACTTAGGGCTACATGGAAAGTCTATCTTTCATTCAGCGACAGACCATCCCCAGAAAATATGTTTTACCAATATATCTAATTTCAAAACTAACAAAATAGGCATGAACACTTTATTCTTATTTTGTGCACGGCATGTTATGCCAGGAATGACGTTACGGAATGTAGCAATACCTGCAAATAATAATATAAGTAATTAGTTTTGGTTTCAAAGTTGCATTAACAGACTCTACACACTAACTCAAGCCGTTGTTCCCTAATTATTTCATACATGGCATTTTTAACATATCTATCATAGTATTTTCTTCAAAAAAATCAGATTTTGCACGGTCATTATGCCAACAGTGAGCAGTATGTGCCACCCTTTCGCTTGTACATAGTACTATTCGGTAGCTTTGACTTTTTCAATATCCAAACTAACTTCAACCCGAAAATCGTCGTCTACGTTCCTAAAATTACGTTGATCTGCTGTTAGTTAACACTATATTTATTTTACAAAAACAGTAGCAATTACACAAGATTAGTTGAATAGGCCGAACTATGTATTGCTTTAATTTTGGAGCATATTATAAGTACACAATTGTCTCTAACTGGATATTACTAGTTTTCCCCGTACGATACAGCATATGGCCAACTGTTATATTGGTTACCGTGTTTAACCACCACTAGATACATGCTTTTTCCCATCATAAGACAATGAATAGATGAATGGCTTGTCATAGTGTCACATGACACGTTTATTAGGGGCCCAAGCCTGAAGGGCGAGGCCCCTATTCTTATTGTCCGTTTTTTTAGGGGCCCAAGCCCGAAGGGCGAGACCCCTATTCTTATTGTCCGGTTTTTTCTTCTTTCTTCTTTCTTCTTCTTTCTTCCGTAACTTTTTTCGTCAAGCCGTTTGAGAAAACTGCTGAACTGAATAGTCTGAAAATGCTCTATACTGATAGTCCCTAATGTGAACTAGTGCAACATGCTTTCAGAATTTTGATTTATCGATTAGTTTGGCAGCCATATTGGATTGAAATAAAACCGGAAGTGGCTGTTTGGCCACTTTCTGAGGGTCTAGGCGTCAAGATTTTTTTATGGTAAAAAAGATTTCAAACCTAAAAAAGATTTCAGATCAGTCACATGGTTTGGCCGCCATCTTGGATTTTAAGCAAAATTGACCAAAGGTTTGGGCATTTGTTTCTCAGAGGTGATTCAACCAATCTACTAGATGTTTTTATATTTACCATGCCTGGCCTTAGCTCCATATGAGAAAAATAATATTATTTTGATCAGTCACGCGGTTTGGCCGCCATCTTGGATTGTGTGAAAATAGAAATTATGCAACTACATGTTTTGTATTAGTCTGATTTCTTTCAAATTTTGTATGTGCATTTGTGTCATCAGATGCATCATTTTGCCCAAATAACACACTGCTAGGCCACGTGGCTGGGCACCCATGGGGTGTGGGCTTCTAACCTCATTAATATGCATAACTGTTATAACTCAAGCACTGTTGTAGTTAGGATGATGAATCCTGTGTTATTATGACAACGTTGAACAAGAAATTTGATTAAAATAACAAATGACCATATATGGTCATGTGAACTCATTAATATGCATAACCATTATATCTTAAACACTGTTGCAGTTAGGAAGATGAATCCTGTGTTATTATGACAACAGTTAACAAGAGATTTGATTAAAATAAGAGATGTAACTGACATTAGAAATGGCTATATATGATTATGTAATCTCATTATTGTGCATAAGAACATGGCTCATTATATATTCTGAAAACCATATTTCGATAACCAAACCAGGTAAATACATGGTACCAACTTCATTTTGACCTCATGTTACGAATAATTCAAGCTACCTAATTGTCTAACATGTGGCCTCATTAATTATGAAACAGAATCTTGTCAGCTTGGGCCCCGGTGACGCCGCTTGCGGCTTTAATTTGTGTGTCTTATTGTAAATATCATGGAAGGTAAAAAGAGAGGAGAGGTTCTCCCTTGTTCGATGATCGTTTCGATATATTTACTTGGTAAACAATTCCGTAATTCGATTACGTGAATAATTAATATTCGGGTCGACTCAAACATGACAACAAATCTTGCTGCACCAGTAAAACTATCAAGCAAGACAGCAACTTAACCATAACCCAACCTCTTCCCTATTTGACTATTTCAATCGCGGACAATAACTGTAAAAATCGTTAAAATGAAATTAAAAATATGTATTTATATGCTCATATCAGAAAACTGACACAACAATAACTGTTCGTGATCACACCAGGGTTCTAACATCGCACCGCCTTCCATATGATCACACACACAACGTATTTATAAGTATATTTGTTGTGTTATTATTATTTTTATTCTTATTTTACTAATATCTGATTTGTAACCCTTTTCATCCCTTCCGGGGGATGTTGTGTGTTAATAAATAAATGTCTTTGTGTCGAGGCGGTAACAAAATGGCGAAACTATTGCGAAAAAATCTCGTTTTTTTCACAATCGCATATCACCGCATACAAACAAGACAAAGCTTATTCGAAAGTGCCTGACATAAAGTCCCACTTGAGCTTTTTAAATACTTCGGGAGACAACCGGGCGTGTAGTTTTTTCGTCTTTAAAAATGGAACAAGTTTACGTGCAGAGACCTAGCAGCATATCATCCATTCACGCTGGAAAACAACAGACGAGTGTTTCGTTTCCGGTGTCATAGCCCTGCGTACAGTGCTGGGTGTACGGGGACGCGTT